CCCACAAAACCTAGTCCTGGTCTGTTAACCTCTGAGCCACCAAGGCTAGGGTATTTTTCAGTTATAGCTATCCGTTTCTAAAACTATGATACAATTCTTACTGGATTATCTTTCAAGGCAATAGTAGGATATGATGACATAGGAATAAATTTTTTTTTTTTAAGATTTTATTTATTTCTTTGAGAGAGAGAGAGAGAGAGTACGAGCAGGGGGAGCTGCAGGCAGAGGGAGAGGGAGAAGCAGGCTCCATGCTGAGCAAGGAGCCCGATGTGGGGCTGGATCCCAGGACCCTGGGATCATGACCTGAGCTGAAGGCAGGTTCTTAACCTGAGCCACCCATGTGCCCCAACCATACCCAAATTTCTATATGAATAAAATTTATCATGATCATCAGCCTAATATCAGCATTAGTCATAATTTACCTTATATCCCAAATACAGAAAGCAGATATTAAATTCTTACATTTACCTCAAAATAATGAACAGATAAGGACACTGGGTGGGTCAAAAGTGTCCATTCCAGGCTGAAAATGCTCACTTATATAGTTATAAATGTTTTTAAAGAAAATTATAGAATGAATGACTGAAAAAAGAATCAAGTTTGTAAGGGCCATCTTCAGCATATTAAATATAAGCAAATGATTTAAGACAGAAATCATATTAAAAATTGAAGGTGGGAGGACAAGCCTGGCATGGGAAATAAATCAAATCCTGGTGCAGGGAGGAAGGAGGCTGTGAAGGTTGACATGCTTCCCCTCTCATTCTGAACTACACACACTCAGAAATACACAACATGGCAAATATATAAATAATCACATTTGTCAATGTTTACTGATCATAAATGTCAGATGGGTGGTTTATATCTTAAAATTCTTGTTTGAGCATATTTTAAGGGATGAAATATTTGCCAAGTGACCAAGGTAAAAAGACCTCCCTGAAATATGAGACCCCCTGAAACTATAAAAACAATTGTAAACCCACTTATTCCTGTGCTTTACAAAATAAGGAAAGTTGGCATTTAATTCAAATTAAATATTATCAATCACTTATTAATGAAATTACTTATTCAGCTTAAGCAGTAGCTTACTGGAAGTAGATGCTGCCTAGTAATCCAGCACTAGCACTCCTACAGGGTATTAGATACTCGGTCAAAATGACAAGAGCTGCACTATTTCACATTCTTTCAAATGTGAAAGCATTAATAGCTATAACAAGAATTTAATTAAAATAATCTATTTCTTAATACCATAAAATGAGGACACAATTTGGCATTTCCTTTCTTGCAAAAAGTCAGTACTTTAAAAAAAAATCTAATTCATGTTATAAAATGCAAAGAAATATTCTTTTCTAAACTACTCATTTGGTATCATTTGGTATCATTTTAACCTTGCAATACCTCCCCCAGTCTAATCATTTTAAGACTTGGACTTCGTTCTCTCATTGTGTGCAAGAAGGCTGTGTTTAAGAAATAGATTTTACCATATATAGTTTCCTCTTCATAGCACTGTGGTTTGAACTGGCTCCCTTACTTGCCACTGAGTCATCAAATGGTAAGAACATGAACAGTATAATGTTCTTTCAAGCAAAAATGCAGAAAAAAATGCAACTACATTTGCTCTAAAAGTACCTTTCTCCCCCCAAAAAATAAACTGGGATTTATAAATTCCATTTGAGCTTATTTAATTTGTATTTTTCCTTTATTAATTTAATCTGATGGTATTGATATGCTCATTAATTTAATTACCTAGTGATTAGTCTCATCTTAATCCACAAAAATATTTATTCTATTTCAAAGCATTTTGCAGAGTGAAGCCAAATTTGTTTTTGGTTTGTTCCTACTTCAAGGACTCCTAAATTCAACATATAAACTAGGATAAATCTGATAAAGCACGCTATAAGCAACAACAAAAGTGAGAATTATAAATGAAAGCATAATTATCCTAGCACTATAAGCTACTTTGTATCATTAGACCCTAAAAATTCTACCAGTCACACATTAAGCACAGGAGTCTTCCCTGTCAGTGAACTATCTTAATGCTGATGAGATCACCCAAGTTTGGTAGCAATACACACCAGGGGCCTGGACCCAACTCTTGAAAGACACCTAAACCTAAGCAGATCTCCAGATTTTCATCTGTCTGGCCATTTTCAGTGGCTCTATTTAGATGGAAGTGCTATTTTAGGTTTGAATGGTTATGAAGATGAAATGCATAAATTATTGGAATCAGGTAAGTTTTCCTCCTCTAAGCCACCCTAAAGAGAGACCCTGGTCTATTTGGGAGCTAATGGGGAAGAGAGGCAGGACCAACATCTGGCATGCGATCATAAGAGTCACCCACTCGGAGCATTCCAATTAGGGCCTAGTTAAAAAAAATCAATTTCTCAAATAGCCTGTAAGTCTAAAACCTAAAATGTGTAAGAGGCCAGTTGCTTTAGGGTAACAACTATTTACACAAGTTTTTAGAAATTAAATTTGAACACCTTCTGTAATATTTAGTTGTAGATAACTCAGTATAGCTTCAGGTACCTAAACAAAATCAAGAGGACTATGAAGTATAAGAAGTAAGAAATAATTTCTGTATTTAGAATCTTCTAAATTTTCAGAAATATCACAGCATTCCTAGCTACATATTACATCAGAACTGTTTCTTCATTTGAAGCCAATCATGTCTATAGAAAATCTGGATAAAATTTTAAAGTAACTAGAAAGTAACACCAAATACATAAATTTTGTTCAAATTAAGTACATTTTTCCTTTACTGATCTCTTAAGATACAAGATTCTTAAATTATGGATTAGCCATAAGCCTAATCATTAACATATAATCAGCTTTCTAACTCAGGTAAACTAACGAAATAGTAACAAAAATGAACTCATGGCTAACAATCCTATTCTAATTGAATGGAAAAACTCATACACTATAAATACAGAGCTCGTTACCCTTCAAAGAGGAGGAATCCACTGAAATATAACTGGCTCTGATTTCTAAAGAGAGTATCAGACATATTTTTAAAAATATTTTAAATTCCATTTTTAAAGTTTTAAATTTATTTAGAGGTCAATTTGAGACTACAGGGGGAATCCGGCTACTATTTTTTTTTTTTTAAGCACCTTTAACTGAGTTTTAGCTGTAAAAGTAATAAATGTTGGGCGCCTGGGTGGCTGTCATTAAGAGTCTGCCTTTGGCTTAGGTCATGATCCCAGGGTCCTAGGATGGAGCCCCGCATCGGGCTCCCTGCTCAGCAGGAAGCCTGCTTCTCCCTCTCCCACTCCCCCTGTTTGTGTTCCCTCTCTTGCTGTGTCTCTCTCTGTCAAATAAATAAATAAAATCTTTAAAAAAAAAAGGTAAGAAATGTTTATAGTTAATTTGGTTTAAAGACAGTCTCACATGTTTTGTTAAAAAACAAAACAGAACACTTCCCAATAATTCAGAGAAGTCATGAAGTCTTTCCCATCTTCCCTCACTCTTATCCCCCAGGCTCACAAGTAACCGCTTCGAACATACCTCTCCCTCTAAAACTTTCATGTACAAGTCTGTGGACCCAGAACAGTCACATAAATGGGATCATTCTAAAACTTTTTTTTTAACTTAACAATAAATTTTAGATATGTTTCCACAGTGGTGGATCTTTTTTTTTAAGTATCCCATTTTGTATGGATGTCCCATTAAAACTCTTACTATCGTGTTTTTAACTTAGTTCATATAAAACTAGTATAATTATTGCCTGTAAAAGTCTGTAGCACAGTAAGGGCAGTATTATGTCAGTAAATATCAGCTCCCTTTTTCCCCTCAACAATCCAGTTTCCAAAATGTTTTAAAGTTCAAGTAAAATCTTTTTTTTTTTTTTCAGGTGTACAACATAGTGATTTGACAACTCTGTTATGCTATGCTCACCACCGGTGTAGCTACCATATAATGCTATTCAATACCACTGATTATATTTCCTATGCAGTCCTTGTCATCCTGTGATTTATTCACTCCATAACTGGAAGCCTATTTTAATTTATACGTCACATTTATGGAAAAAGAAAAGTCACAAAATATTGCAACTCCAAAATGGTTAGTAATCATTGTAATGTAGGGGGAAATGATCACTATAGAACTCATCCCAAATAAGTAACATTTCTATCTTCTAATGTGCTACTCCAAATAAGTTATTTTTTAATGGGGGCGAGGGGAGGGAGGTTTGAAAGCAACAACTTTCAAATCAGTGTTTTAGCCAGATTTTTACAATCATTTGCCTTTTTGAATCTTAAAGACTAACATGATCTGTGTTCTGCATCTAAGGGAAAAAAATGGGGGAGGGGATACCAAAATTGGTTAACTTCCCCCAAGGTCCACAATTAACACTTGGGCCTTAAAGGGGTCCTAGATCTCCCAAGATCAATACAACATACTGTCTCTGCGGGGCTGCACGGAGGCCAAATTCCCAGCATGCAGAACAAAAAGTAAATGATGCTTTGCTCAACTGCCCCCCCCCCGCCCCAAAAACTGCGAAAGGGCTGCGGCTCGTTGCATGACAGCACTTCCCTTTTTTTTTTTCTTTAAACCCGTTTCCTGCCTCCCGTTCGGTATCTTCAATTATACAGGAAGAGGAAGGCCTCTGGGTCTTTCTCCTTTCTACAGAACCAGTAACCCTGGGAAATGGAACCCTTATCGAACAAACCTACCCAGTCTTTCACCCCTCCAGCCCTTCAGCTCAGTTGTTCCCACTGGGGCGCGGAGCCGGCCACCGTAGGGCAGCGGACTGGATCCCCCTCCAGCGTCGGCCTTGCCCGCCGCCCTCACCCCGAGTTGCGGAGGTGGCAGGGTCGGGGAGACCAGGACTGGGCTCAGTCCGCTCACTCCCCACGCCCGCGAAGGCCGGAAGCGCTCTCCCGCGCCCCTTGGTCCCGGCGGCCCGAGGGCCCAGGGGTGCAACCTCGGGCGCCGAGGGCCCAAGCGCCACTAGTACATCCCCGCCCGGGCATGTGGCCACGGCTTCACCGCCGGGCGCTTACCCCGGTGCCGTTGTCGCACACCACCACCTTCCTGCCCTGGCTGTCCATCGTCCGCCCGGAAGAGAGCCGCCGCCGCCGCCGAACGACCTACAGCCCCTGCTGCCGGGCCCTTTCCTCTTCCTCCTCCTTCTTCACGGCCCCTCCTTCGGTCCAACTTTTTTCCCCCAACCGGAAGTCGCAGCTAAGCCCCACCCGCCATTTAAGGTACAGTCTGCACGGAAGGGGTGGGGAAATGGGAGGGAGGAGGCCGAAACTGGCAGTAGTGAGATCCAATAAGAGACGGAGAAGTGTCGAGGCCCCGCCCACAACTCCGGTTTCAGCTTCGGCTCCAGCTCAGCCGTAGGGGTCACCGCCCACCCGGGTTCTTCCCTATTGCTTCTAGCTTGTGGAGCTTCGCGGGGCCTTAATGGCGGCAGATCTAGTGGACGTTGCGGCCAAAGGCGCTGTAGGAGTTGAAGGGCCCGCTTACCCGTCTGCAAAAGGGACAGGGAGGTGAAGGACACTGGATCTGTGCGAGATGGCAGTGGAATGTGGCGAGAGGAGACAGCCTGGAGGGTGGAAAGCGGGGGAAACAAACCTCGACATCCACGCTGACCCCACTGTTGAACATAGCTTGGTGTGTCCTTGCTTCTAGGCCTCTTCAGGGATCAGAGCTGGGATGGATACACACACATGAAGTCATGCGTTTATACCGATACCTCCAATTCCAGCCCAACCCTTTTTTGCCCAATTTGCCCTTAGTCAAGTGAGCGGGAGTGAGCGCCTACCTTTTCAGCCCCCTCGCTCACCACTTCCCTTCCAGCAGCACCATGTTGCTTCACACCTCTTCACTGTATGTACGTGTTTGAACCCAGAGTCTTGGCCTTGAAATCAGACAACCCTAGTTTCAAATATGGCCCTGCCACTCAAGAATTCTGTGATTTGGATTTATCCTTGCCTATGCATAAGAATACTAACCTCTAGTTCTATGGGTGGTTGTGAGGATAAAATTCTGTACATAGAGTAAGTATCTATTCAGTGGTAGCTATTGATTATTATTTACATACATTTAAATGTATAATTCTTTCTACCTATAATGGCTCTCCTTTTTTTTTTAATCGATCAAGAGACTTCTGCTCATGCTCTAAGACCCAGTTGTCACATCTATGAAGGCTTTGCGATAACCTTCAAGATGCTCTTTACTCTCTTTCTTCACTAATTAGTTTACCATGGATATATGAATAATATTATTGTGCTTATGACATTCAACAAATATTGGATGAGTGATATTAAAATTTATCTTGAAAAAATACCAACATTTTTGAGAGGTGAGAACTAGAATTGTGCCCTTCACATGGCTGTACGTGTGCAGTGACTAGAATAAAACTTGGATCATGAACCCCTCAGTCCAGTATTGTAAGACTAGGCTACCTCTCAGTTTTCATTTTGTTCTTTTATTAGACCAGTGGTTTTCAAACCTTTATAAAGGCATAGGTGGCTTTATTAGAATTTAATCTTTTTTTAAAAAAATTATTAATTTATTTTAGAGAAAGAGTCCTGGAGCATGGGGGGCAGGCAGAGGGAGAGAGAGAATCCTTAAGCAGACTCTCTGCTGAGTGTGGAGCCTGATGCAGGCAGGGCTCAATCCCAGGACCCTAAGATCATGACCTGAGTCAAAATCAAGAGCCCACCATTTAACTGACTGAGCCACCCAGGTGTGCCCCTCAAATTTAATCTTATATGGAACCTCAACATATAAAATAGACTAAAGCTGCCATAGTAGTTGAAAGTTTGAGAAATTAGGATGGATAGGAGGCCTCAGGGAAATATGTCTTCTCTGCATCTGCTTCAGTAGTTGTTGAGGTACCTCAGTCTGCTGAACAGTGCATTAGTTCATAAATTGCACATCTTCCTTTTGTGGCCCCAGTGCCTGGCACTGTACAATTTTCCTTGAAGTATATTTATTTGGTCTCAGCACACTGAACTCAAGCATTGCTGTGTCCTTTTATTTTTCCTCTCTATGAAATTAAGTTTCATACTTTTTTTTTTACTTTTTAAGAAATTACATTTTTTGTTTTTTTCCATTATAAAAACAGTACATGCAGATGATAGAAAATATCAACATCTATTCATTGTACTAATGAAAATGCAGCAAACCCTTGATTATGCAAATTCAGATGCAGTACTATTGGTGACAGGCTCCGGCCTTCTATACCAGGCAAGACCTGGTCATTTCACTTTCCTCAAAATAATCTGATCACACATTTTAGGCGATTATTTTGGGGGAGGAGGGTTGGGAGACTTCATTTCTATTCCTCTGTCATGGTTTTATGTATATTATTCCACATAAAAATCTTGCTATGTAGATATCCCCATTTTACACATAAGAAATGAGGGCTTTAAAAAAATTAAGTCTAGTAAGGTCATAGGATATGAGGTCTACATAACAGAAATCAATGTATTGTTACATGTCATTAGTGAACAATCTGAAAATGAAAGAACATCAGAAAAATCCAAATAAATTTAATGCAAGACCTATATACTGAAAACTACAAAACACTGCTGAGAGAAATCAAAGAAGATCTAGATAAGTAAACATACCATGTTCATGGATTCAACACTCATTATTAAAATGACAGTTCTCTTCAAATTGATCTATAAATTCCAATGTAATCTCTATCAAAACCCCAGCAGGTTTTCTTCTTTTTAGAAATTGACAAGTTTGATCCTAAAAATTATATAGAAATGCAGAAGAGCCAGAATAGCCAAAATAATTTTGAAAAAGAAAAGCAAAATTGGCAGACTTCCACTGATTTCAAACCTTATTATAAAGCTACAGTAATGAAGACAGTATGATAATGTCATAAGGATGGACATATAGATCAATGGTACAGAATAGACAGCACAGAAATAAACTTATATTTATGGTCAATTGATTTTCAACAAATCTGGTAAAAAAAATTCAATGGGGAAAGGGTAATCTTTTTTTAAACAAATAGTACTTGGACAACTGGATATTCTTATATGTGGAGGGAAAAAAAGAACTTTGATCCTCACCTCACACTAAACACAAAAATTAATTCAAATGGATCATAAATTTAAATTTAGAAGAACTGGGGAGCCTGGCTGGCTCAGCTGGAAGAGCATGGAACACTTGATCTTGGGGTTGTGAGTTTGAGCCCCACATTGGGTGTAGAGATTACTTAAAAAAATCTTTAAAAAAATTAAAAGATAAAAATAAATAAATTTAGAAGAGCTAAAACCATAAATTCTGGAAAAAAAGACAAAAATCTTTTGATGTTGAGTTAAGCAAAGATTGCTTAGATATGACACCAAAATCATGATTCAAAAAAGAAAAAAATGATAAATTGGACTTAACAGAAATTTAAAACTTTCAATTCATGTATTAAGAAAACCAAAAGACAAAAGATTTTTGCAAATTACACATCCAACAAAGAACTTGTCTCCAGAATAAATTAAGAACACGTAACAATAATAAGACAAATTACCTAACATTAAAGGGGGTGAAAGATTTGAATAGACATTTCACCCAAAAAGTTTTATGAATGGCTAATAAGCACATGGAAAGATACTCAACATCATTAATCATTAGGGAAATACAAATTAAAATTATAATGAGAGTGGTGGCCTGCAGGCAGCAAGGCCATGGGTGGCCTGGGGCTTGTGCTCCTCTGCTAGGCTGGCAATGCAGGGCCCCCTAGGCACTCCAGCTGGGACTGCCACGCAGGCTGCCCTCAAGGCTGGTGGGAACTGCAAGGCAAGAGGCTTGCACTCCTGCACAGTTTTGGCATCTTCTTGCGAGGGCTGCTACGTGCAGTGGCCTTCAGCATGTTGATGCTCAAACCAAAGAACCAAATCATGAAAGACGTCCCTTTTGAGGATATGGTTTTTAGACACTTCCAAACAAGTTATAGGAATGTTGTTCATCCACTTTGCAAATGTGTACCTAGCAGATCTCATCGAAGAGGTCCCTTGTTCACATCACCTTCCTCTTGGGACACAACTTTTGGCAAGTTGCTCATCTATGTGGGCGTACAGGCCATGAGCACCTTGGTCGAGTAGTAGCAGTGGGAGCCCCTGTGTTTGGATGAATGTGGAGACCTTCTGCAGTGTGTAGCCCAGGTCCAGCAGTGTGCTTTTACATCTTGGTCATGATTTTTGAAAAGTCTGTCACCTTCACTGTCCTCTTCATGCTTCAGTGGAAAAAGGTGGCCCATTGAGCCATTGAAAACCCAGATCTGAAAGTGGCCATCGTCCTGCTGATCGCCCTCTTCTTTGTCAATGCTTTAATGTTTTGGATAGTGGACTACATTCCTAAATTCTTCAGCAGGCCCACTTGAAGAATAAATGCCATCTTTTACAAAGCCACGGTATCATTATATCTAGGAAAAATAAGCAGTAATTCCATATCATCTAACATTCAGTCCATATTTGTATTTCCCCAGTTGTCCCTACCACGTTTATAGCTGTTTTTCTTCCTAAACCAAGATCCAATCAAGGTTCAGAGATTGTGTTTGTTGTTATGTCTCTCTCTTTTTTAAAAAAAGATTTATTTAGTTAGTTAGTTGAGAGAGAAAGAGAGAGAGAGAGCACAAGTGGGAGGAGCAGAGGGAGAGAAAATCTCAAGCAGACCCCATGCTGAACATGGAGCCTTGGGTGGGCTCCCATGAGATCATGACCTAAGCAGAAACTAAGAGTAGATGCTCAACTGACTGAGCCACCCCAGCACCCGTTGTTAATCTCTTTAATCTCTTAATCTAGAATAGTCATCCCACTTTTTTTTTCATGGCATTAACTTTTTGAAGAGTTCAGATCATTTGGCTATAGAAATGTTCCATGTCCTGGATTTGTATGATTGCTTTCTTGTGGTTGGTTACATTTTTAAGTGATGTTTATACATAATGTTGTTATGGCATTTGATGGTACTATAGACAGGATGTGTTACATGGACATTCTTTGCTTTTGATAATATAAAATTAACATTGAATTGATATCGGAACCAAGCAAAAATCTTGCAATACTATAAATAATGTTATTGCCTTGATTTAGATCTAGCCTAGAAAGAGTACAATTGTTATACACACATATGCACACACACAAAAGTAGGAATCTGTGATTTATGATTCCATAACTCTGTTGGGGAAGGAAATAAATATTATGAAAG